GTAAAGACGGTGGTTGCATTGGGCTGCTCCTCTGTGAGTGCTCAGAATGGACATGACTGTTAAAAAATACAGATTACAGATTAAAAATAAGATCAAGTCAGATCAAGTAGAAGCAACGTCATAAATTTGCTGTGAAACAACCCAGGCGAGGCTATAAATTGCAGAGTTAAAGGACATCCAGATGCCAACAGCAGAATATGATACCTGTATTCCTGTTTTCTCTCTTCCTTTTCACTCTGATGCAACTCTGCTGCCTTTGACAGTTACTAACCGAGCCAACTGTTTTCTTTCCTCATCAAATTAACTGACTGGCATCAATGTGTTTACATGACTGCTACACAAAACAGCTGAAGGTGTTCAGTTTATTAGCTTCACAGTCAGTAATCAGAAAGTAAGGAGCCAAATCCAGTTCTCTACCACAATTATGTTATCAAAATACTGCTGAAATGGCTGCTCACTGCTTACAAATCAACTTAATTATTTAACATTATGTAAGATTTGGTATTTGTTGTGATTTGGCACCCCCAGTTGCAATACCGCTGTGGTTAATATGGATAGCTGTACACATGCACTTGTTATAGTTACATTACTTATAATCAAAAACTAGCGAGTCGACAAGTTTGCCAACACAGCCAAACATCAAGCAAGTGCAACAACACAGGGTATAGTAAGCCAGCTAATGTTACTGACTAGTCCAACAGCAAGAAGGCCAGCTTGCCGTCTGTCTGCAGCCTTTTATTTCACCAAGCTCTCTTTAGCCAACCACTAAAACCCAGTCCCACATTTAGGTCATTTAGGTCAAAAGCTCCTGTGCTACCAGTGTACACATTTTGTAGCAGTTACTTTACTGTCCATCAGGAAACTCTATAAGCCAAAGGAAGAAAAACCTGATTATTAAATTAGTCACATAGTTGGTGGTGTGTGATTAAGTACTATAAAGCCTTTTTCACTTGTTCCGACCCAGAGCCAAAATGTAGTTTTAGTTTTACTTTTGTTATTTCGTGTTTTATTTTGTAAACTCCTCCTCTTGTGTCTTGTTTTAATTTAAAAAGGACAGGAAGTATTTATCTGTTTTCCCTCCAGTTTTGATTGTCTGTCCTGCCTAATTGTTTTCACCTATCTCTCATTATCCTTCCCCTCACCTGTGTCTTTAGTCTTTGTGTTATCTTGTTTCTGTCAGTTAGGGCCTATAGATGTCTTAGTAAACACAGGATTGTTAGTAGAACATAGGCTGTTTTTGTGTTTGTATTTTGTTTTTGTATTTATTTTATTATTTTTTTTAATAGACTGCTGTAAACTTAAATAGATCCTGTTGTACATACTCTGATACAGTAGGTGGCAGTATGCATGTTAAATTTGAGATTACAAGCCACCAGATAAGTCAAAGAAGGAGTTTCTGTCTCGGTTCATCCTGGTTTCTTTGTTAGCAAATGCTTAACTCAAGAAACTAAACTAACTTTAAAAAAAAAAAAAAAAGCAAGAATGTGTAATTGAGAGAACAAAAACTGTTTTTTGTGTGGTGTGTGTGCATGTGTATATGAATTGCAAATGAACACAAATAATGATGATGTCATTAATAATAGAATAAATAACAACATAACATAACATTTAACAAATAAGACATATATCAATAACAGTATAGAAAATAGAATGTTTTATTTTTGTTTTGGTTTTTAGTGTTCTCTCCATGCTGTTGTGAATCAGATCCAGGTGAAATACTAAATCCTTTATTTTATTATTCATTTTGTTGCCTACACATAGCTTCGCTAGACAAAATTTGTTATTAAAAATGCATGTTTTTATCATGGTATCAAGGTAGGACTTACACAGAGTGAACCTGGCCTGTTGGCCATGTCCACATTGTAAGTCTTAGGTTTCAGTTCTGATCTATTGCTCAGAAATGAGATGCATGACAAACATTGATCTACAGTGACATAAAAGTTGCATGAATTCGGATGTGACTGGTGGTCACATTGGAAAAAATCAGACCTGTATCTGATTTGTACCACATATGTGACTGCAGAGCTGGGCCTCTTTTAACTGCAGTGTAACCAGAACCAACAATCTTTTGTGCCTGGCAGGTGGAAGCCAGATAAATCAGTGTACTATGGGGAGCTGCCTATGTGATGACATGAGGTTACAGCAATTTTTAACCAGTCATTGTGGGTATGAAATGAATCATGATTCTATGACTGCATGGCCTTTCCCCACCTTATCTTGCAGCTGCCGAAAGCTAGAAATAGCTTTTAGTGCAACTTTAAATATTCAGAAATCAGCTTGTGTGTTTAGAAGTGTAGAATGTAAATTCATCACAATTTCCTTAAACACTCAAATTCCCTGAAAAAAATGCAGAGGACATGACCTCAGTGTCCTTGATGTGGCACAAAGAGGAAGAATTAGGAGACTATAGGAATCTCCCTCTCCCTGGAATTACACCTATATTCCTTCATATAGGTCAATTCAATACCTGACCTTATGTCCAGTGCCAATGCAGGAAGTAGTGTGTCCTTTGTGTAACAAGGAGGAGAGGAAGGGTGTGGGGGTGGTGGATGGATGTGCAGCACATCTGACTTTGATGCTGGGGACTAAAATTTTCGTCTCACCACAGACATGGAAGTAACTAACCAAATCTTTCCCTGACCTTAAAGTCACCTCCGGTCAGGAATCAGTGTTTCTACTTGTTCCTAGAATGTGAGGTTTAAATGCTGTCTGTGCAGAGTTTGACTCTAGAAGGATGTTTTAACATTCATCTGTTGAAAGTGGAAAGTTTCTCTATGCTCATTGAAAATCTGATTTTAAGGGGCGGGGCCTAGCAGCATGATTTGTGACATCACAAAGTCAAATCCTGGTCCAGTATGCAACTTGTACAGTGTGATGTAGAAACTTGAAGCCACCAGTGCCTTTACACTGTGAATGGACTTTACAGTGAAGTAGGAGACATCTTGTGTCCAGCAGGAAAACATTTGCATTTTTCAGATATTCTGGAATTTTTAATGAGGTAGCAGAAGTAGATGTCTTTTTAAGAATTTTAATGTGGAAATTATCCTTTTTTTTGTCAGACACACATTATTGTTCCAAGCAGACTACTTGTATATATGTCATAATACATGTGTGAAGGGGATCTTTAACCAAATGTAACCTTAAACATACCTTTAACATTTTTGCTTGTTTACTTGCCAGACCACAATCTTTTCCTAACCTTAACCATACTCTAAATGCCATTCACATATATTGTAGAAAGGGAGAATTTAAAAAAGGTTGGCACTAAACGTAACCTGAGACTATAGAGAAGCATCCGATATCAATGGATTGTCTGCCGATAGTTAGTGTGTGTGTGTGTGTGTTTGTGTGAAAGGGAGAGAAAGAGAAATGTTCCGTTCACATTCATCTATCCGTCATCTTATATCTTTACATACATTCCTGCCTCTCTTTCCCCCATTGTGTAGCATCAAACCATCTGTATATCTGTTCCTGCAACTCTGACACATTTCCTATACTGCTGGTGTGTGTGTGTGTGTGTGTTTTTGTGTGACCTACTTCTTGTTTTTGGTGGAGTAATAAGGAAACTCATAGTCAGGGCTTTTGTGAAGGGCTTATTGTTAACAACTACATCCACACTCCTAATAGACCAATCCATTTCGAGAAGAATAGCAGGAAATAGAAAGTGGTTGAGTAAGCTCAAGGCCTGCTGCCTCACTCAAAATGCTGTTTCAGAAAATGTGGTGTGTTTTCTATATTGTCTCTATCAGTGGTTCCCAACCTGGGGGTCACCAAAGCTTCAAGGAGGTTGTGGGGATTTCTTGGTTTTAAGGGGGTGTAAGAAAACTTACTTATATACACAGTTTGGGGCACATGGTAGCTAACCTTCAGCAGAAGACTCCTCTCGCCCAGATGCACCACAGAGCGCCACAGGAAATCATTCCTGCCTGCGGTCATCAATCTCTACAATGCCTCCCTCAGGGAGTCAGACCCCCCCCTCCATAATCTGACTCAAACGGACAATCATTTTTTGCACTTTTTGCACAGTATTAACTGTACATTTGATCTTTTATATATATATATGGTTATATATATATATTTTGTTCTTAATATATGTTATTTGTATATCTGGAGTTTGTAACAAAAATAATTTCCCCCTGGGATTATTAAAGTATTTCTGATTCTGATTCAGATTCTGAACCTAGTTTGCACCCCATGTAGCCCTTACTGTGGCATATAATATATTTGTAAATATTGTATTATAATGTACATAGTCCTATTATATATGTTTAGTTTTTATTTATCTTTTTTTTTTATTGCCTACATATATTGTTGTTAGATATTCTAATAGAATACCTATTTAACATTCGCATAATTATTATTTCTGTTTATTTAATGTCTTGTGAGCACCTTGATTAACTCATGAACACATTTCCCCTAGGGATCAATAAAGTATTCTGATATGTATGTGTTTTAGCTGAAACTCTGGCATCTGCATCTAGTTGTAGCTGCAGTCTATCTTCAGATGTCTTGGGTCCCCCAGTTTAAATTCAAGACAATAGAAAACCAAAGCATAAGGCAGGTATGATCTGACCTTTGCTAATTGGTTAAGTCTAAACTACATCTTTTTAATTCATTCATTCAGTCTTGAATCAAAAATCATCTAATATATAGTTTGACTGTTTCGAATCTGCAGCTGTGAGTAAAGTGTCAACAGTGCTCTTTGTGGTTTCTTTTCTTTACAGTTGATGAGATAAATGCACACACACAGGGAACAGCTAAAGTTAGTTTTGTTGGCTTCAAAGTCCAGTGAATCACAAGGTCTCATTTTCTTGTTGCTCACTCTTTTTCTGCTGACCATAGCAGGTGCCCTGGAATTCACCACACACACACACACACACACACACACACACACACACACACACACACACACACACACACACACACACACACACACAGAGAGAGATAGTTCTTGGTTTCCTTCTCTTTCACATATGCAGAGATTTAGTCCTTGTCCTTAGAGTCTGAAAAGAGAAATGGCCAGTGACAGGGTCCATGTTGCTGTACCTGAGCCTCCCAGTCAAAATGAAGAGGAGAACAAAGAAGAGAAGGCTTTTGGGAATATTTTTGCAGAGTTAGAATCTGTGGACCTGCCTTTGGGAACCACCTTAAGGTAAACTCATGCAACATTCAGGACACCATTTTTTAAATTGCACCACAATTGATGGTGGACTCATTTACCTGTCCAACAAAGTGAATAATAATAACTTAATATGCACATTGAAAGATACAACCAAGAAAACATACACACATTTTATATTTGCTTTGAATGCTGAAGATGTAATTGCACTTTTAGGGCAGAAATTAACTTAATCAGCAACAGTCATTGCTTGAGTACTTGCTTTGCCCCAGGTTTTGCTTGTCAGGCTTCAATCATCTGACCGGTTGAGATTGCTGTGACCATGGGCAGCCTGATGTGAACACAGGATTTCTGCAGGTTTCAGCAAGAGAAATTTAAGACTTTTTAAGAAAATGGATGCAATTTAAGACCTATTTTCCAGTCATACTGGCAAAAATAGTGCAAAGGATACAAAGGAAAATCTGTATTGGTTCCATATTGGTTTCATTTTGTAGTTGTTATGTCATGATCAATACAATTTTTTCCCCAAAAAACATTTAAAAGAGAGACTGAAAAATGCAACCTCATACAAGAAACAATAACTTTTAAAAACTCTGCAGACACACTGGAAAAAATACCACTACCTCCTCTGCATGTCTTTTAGTGAAATTAGTCTTTAAATCTATATTTTAATTTTAAGTCACAGCAGCCATTTTGACATGAAATAGTAGGATAAACACAGGTGTTACCAGTGATACTAATTAAGGTTCCATTCTCTTGAGGTCAAACAGAGTCAGGTTGCTGCTGTTGTGCACGCTGGCTCACTGGAAAGGCTCTGCTACACTAAATGGAACTTGGCCTTATTTAGTACTACTGGTAACACTTGTGTTAGCTACTATTTCATGTCAAAATGGCTGCCATGAAAAAGATTTATAATAGTATTCTCTTAAAAAGACTAGAACATAACATCAGTCAAAGATAAGGCAGCATTAGTGTCATTATCACAGTGCTCTTTTCTCATTAAGTTCAGTAAACTGATGTGATTTTAAGTGGGGTTAGTGCATTCACAATGAAGCAATTTAGACAACCTTTCTAATTCTTCTCTTATTATGGAAATCAATATATTATAATCATTTAATCATAATATGTCGCTTGTAAATTCTACAATTCAGCAATTTTGGGTGAAGGTTTGGGGATGTGACCCACTTCACTGTAACGTACAGTGTGTGTAGAAACTGCGCTGCTGCCATTACGTTGATTACAGTGCAGTGCGCCCCCCACAGGCCGGAGCCCATACTGAGCTCCTCCTGTAGCTGCAGTGGTAGCCATAATACACACAACAATCATGGCGGAGAATGAAACCCTGGAGTGTATAACGGAGCACGAGCGGATTTTACAGGAAATTGAGAGTACAGACACGGCCTGCGTTGGCCCCACTCTTCGGTAAGAATATATGGCTTCTTAGAAAGCCTTTACCAATCATAACGGCTGTGTGTTGACACCTCCTACGTTATCAGACCTTTTGTTCATGAGCTAACTTAGCTATCCTAGCCACCGGGAGACTAACATTAAGGTAACAAGCTATGTGGTGTTGAAATGAAGCATGAGCCTAACTGGCTTGATAGCTAACAGGCCAACACTGAGTAGTATTCCAGCCAACTGAATGCAGCTAACAGCTATAGTGAACCTGCTTTTATGTGTGATGTTCCGGGTTCTGTGTAAGTTGTTGATGGACGGACGGTGACCTGTCAAAATGTAAACATCATCTGTGGGTGTGGCTGTGGGTTCCACATCTTGTTATCATTATGCCGCTGTCGTTAGCTAACGGTGCTAAACATCTTGGCTAGCAGAAATGTGAAAATGAACGCTAGCGTTGCTGACATTCTGTTATAATACCATAGTTTGATGCGTCGTCTTGGCCCTCTTGTGTTTTAATGTGGTTATCAATTAGCTCGATAGTGGTGAAATTGGATATTGAATTGCCCAAGTTAACTGTCTGTAGCACACTGACTGTGTCCGGTAGTTAGCCACCAAGCTAGCTTCCAAGGCCACAATGAATGACATCAGTATAAGCTAATGTGTAACTGACTTGAGCCTTAACGTTAGCTGAATGCTCTCACACACACCTGTTCATTAGACATGCCTGCAGGCCGTGGTTGCCTTTCAGCATACCTGGGGAAACCAGTAAATATATGCCCTAAAGCTAACATTAGTCACTTCTCACTTTGTTTTAGATTCAGTGATTCTTTTATGATGTTATCAACACTGTCATTCTTTTGTAAAGCTTACCTAGACAGTGTAGGTTGGGCCACATTCACAGCAGGCAGCAGTGGCCAAAATCCGATTTTTTTGCTCATTCAGGACTCGGTTTTGTTTTTTGCATGAACAGCACAAATCGCATGAAATCAGATCTTTTCTTTTCTGATGTGGACTCTTTCATATGTGGTCATTATTATTATATGGTAAAATAATGTGCTCTATATGCTGTAGCAATAGGGCAGGTACTCACACCCACAGTCTGGAATGGAGACATTCTGAGCCTGTTAACCCATGATATTAACATGCTTTTTGGGTCATCTGATCACGAGTGGACAGCTTCAAATACGTCGCTTCACACCTGGCATTTGAAGGCGTTTTCACAGTGACCACTTGTAAACAGATCTCACTTCCTTGCTGTATATGCAAATAAACGCAAAAGGGCTGTACCCTACTCAGAAGTTTGTGTTTTTCAGTTCAGCGGCACACTGACTCAGACAGAGTTTTACCTGCGTTGTCTTTTACTTTCTCTGACTGTGTGTAAATGTGATGTTTTCACATCACAGATGATGAATAATTCCTGAGAAAGTGTGTCCTGCGCACCACCGAGCATGTAAATAATAAATAATAAAATAACTTCATGTATAACATTTGCTGAATTTACAAGAAGGCCCAAATAAACAATAATTTATGATAGACAGAGTTTCATAAAGTTTATCCTCACTCAATAACCCTCAAGATTGTGTGTTTTTTAGGAGAGTATGGGGAAATTGCAGTTTCTAGTTAAATGGTGAAATCATTAAGATTGACAGTGTGTTCATAAACATGTGCTGCTTATCTTGGCAGGTAAGTGAGCCTTAACACGTAATTTGCATTACAGTTAACCACCTGGCCTCCCTACCACCAACGTTTCCTGATGGTATATGATGTCTTCATACTTTTTACTGCCCGCGTTTCAATATGTCCTCTTTACTCAATACAGATGGTTTGCTTATTGCAGCTATAGTGTGGGCAGTCTCAGTGAGAGTAGCCTGACAGTTGCGTATCTCCTTCCGAATGTGGACTAATACATGGCTAGATGAAAAGAGGAAGTCATAAAAGACTAAGTCATAAAAGAGTTTTGCCTGATGTATCTAGGGCTCCAAATCACCACTTTATAGGCCTGTGCCATCATAAACCTGGTGAATGTTTCTGACACACCAGGGGCCTGTATCATAAAGCATACTCAACTTACTATGGCTGTATTTGAGGTATCTGGCCTTTAATGCTTTTTTAAATACCTCAGGTTATAGAATCATTAGGTCTCAGTAAGTAAAGACTTGTAATGCCTTTGTTCATCATATGTGATGTAATCATATTAACATTTTAGCACACAGTCAAAGACATAAAAAGTACATGTTGTGGTCATAGTACAGTAAAAACCCTAGCCTATCATACAGAGTCTCTCCTGATTGGCTGCTGACAGCGCTGCAGATTCAATAGTCAATCAGCTGACTTAACTAACATTCAGTACTGGAGATTGTCACTGCTCTGCTCTATTCTTAATGTATTCTATTAGTTTCTTAGTAGAGGTGGGCAATATATATTGTTTGCGATGATATCGTCATTGTTGTTTTGACGATTTCCATTCCAAATTTCCATTATCGAGTATTTAAATGACTTCGCCAAAAATATGGAAATGCACACGGAAACTCCTCACATCTACTTAATACACGGAAAATTCGTTTTTGAGCGCTCTCAGCACTAAAAACGCGTTTCGTGGACACAAGCCCTAACTCAGACGATTCCAATCACATTTTAAAGGATATCGACTGATTATCGTTATCGCCAAAATCCCCAAAAATAACGATGTTATTTTTTGCCCATATCGCCCACCCCTATTTCTTAGGTTATTTTTAGACAAGACTTGGTTTATAAACGTGTATAGCATGTTGTCCTTGTGTCAAGATAGGGGTGTTTTTTGTGGGTTTTGCAGCCACAGCAGTTTCTCTGTCGTGCTTGGAAGCAGAGGGGGAAATGAGGGGGTTTCATTGTGCAACTACACCGCTATATACTATATATATTATATATCCTTATTTTGTTTCTGTCAACTTTGAATGAAGTTATGATGTTACGATGATATGTGAGGTAAAATAACCGCTTTTTTCTATGGAGTTTGGAGGAGAGTGATAGCGAAATTACGGCTGTTTCATCTATCTCTGTAGGGATCCTTTCCATAATGTTGTCAGAAACTGAGAATAACAATCTGAGCCTGTCAGTGCAAAAACAACAACTTTTAGTGGACATAATTCTAATAACATAACATCTTATGACACAAACTTGTTTCATACATTTACCCTTTAACTTTATAACCTGACTAGTTGTTGCAGTCGGAGAACCACAAAAATCTACATTCAGATTTAGTCTGAAAATGACAGGGTGGTCTTTATTCTTTCATTTTCAACATATTGGAAGGTAGAATGATAAAGCATAGTATTTGTAACCTGGAGGCCACTGCAGGCTGGCTAAAGTTAGCTTCCTGTCATAACTGGAAGCAGGAAGACCGTGACGTAATTGTTCCAGCAACCACCTGCTTTCAGTTATTAATAACAGGAAAGAGGAACCTCATATGGCAGCATGGAGGCTGATGATTGCTGGGCCGCATGGACGTGTCCACTTTACATGTGCTGTGCCATTCCGTACATTAGGGCCTAGTTCTTAGCTTCAGTTCCTTGAGCTCTCTGGTAATCATCAGTCATTTATCAAGAACACCAAACATTAGCCAGTGCCAGCTTTCCATTGTAAGGCTTTTCTCTGCC